TAGAATCAGGACGACCTCATAGAGACTTTATTCCCCTCTCCGAATACAAACGTTAATTTACTGAGTTAATAGTTATAACCAAAAACATCAGGTCTGTTTAGCTGATTTTTTGGATATTATCTGAAGTGATGTACATTAGTATAATTCTTAATCATAGGTTTCAAGTTTTATGAAGAAATCTGTGTGTTTAGCAACTTCAAAATAGAATTGGGCTAGACTAGTTTTATGTTAACTAGGCCAAAGTTGAACCATATAAGGGTTGGTCTCCAAAAGAATATAAGGGTTCATCCACAAAAGACCTACTTTAGAGGCTAGATTTTGAATAAGAAAAAACTAGTTCAATTTGGACCCAACTTTTTTCCAAACGAAAAACAAGATATTAGACCTATGTTGTACCATCTAAAATCTAAAACAAGTTTTATGAAGTTGTCAAACACGCCCTTAATTAACATCAGGACAGATCACATTTTAAAATCTTAAACCATGTAGTTATGTTTTCTCTTCTAAAACATACATTTTTTGAATTACCATAAAAGGCTAAATTGCACATAAACCCCCCTCATCCATATCTCCTGTTGCACTTAATGCCTCTCAACTCATTTATTAGTTGCCTTTTTGACAAAGATATATTGCAAGGAACACCCCTCTTATTCATGAAATTGAAAGGCGGTGGTAGGCGGCACTCGGCTGGAGGGGGGGGGGGAGGGGTTGTGTTCAAGCTATTATATGCAGTTGAGGGGGGTTTAGTGCAACTAAATGTACATATGAGGGGGGTTATGTGCAATTTATGCTTAAACAATAACAAGGTTCTTGATTTTCTCCCCCATATTTTTTGATAATAAGGAGAGGAACAAGGAGTTGGATGGGATTACGGATAGTGCACAGGAAGGCATTGTTAGAAGCATTGGCTGAGGAGTTGATACTGGATACCATTCGCTTTTCTTCCAAACTAGCATAAATCAAAACTGAAGTTTTAAACGATTCATCAACCATTGTCATTCTGCATCTAGAAGATGGAACAAGCATCAGAACAAAGGTAGCTGAAGAGAAGATATGTTTTTTGATCATCTTTTTAAGAACCTAGCAAGTAACAATGATAAAAATGCCCCTTTATTACTATGAAATTTGTTTTTAGATTTGATTGTTTCCTGCTAAGGGCTTTTGTTTTCTTTGGATTCTCAAGATTACATGGAAAACGTGGATCGTACACTAAGGGTTTTGTCATCTTCGAAAGGGTTAATTGCAGATAGATCCTATGTACTATCGCCAAATTGAACTTAATATCCCTGCAGGTTGTAGTTTTATTGTTGCAGATAGACCACCCTAAAGAGTTCTGTTGTTGCAAATAAGCACCTGGAAAAAGGCAAAAAAATTTTGAGGCTTCTATCTGTAACAATAGAACTACAGACGCAATAAGTTCAATTTGGCGATAGTATAGGGGGTCTATCTGCATTTAACCCTATCCAAAATCCTTTGTCCTTTTTTTGTAGTATCTTGAATTAAGTTCGTTAGGAGTTGCTGCCACACCAGAAGAAAGTGAATCACATTCAACTCCATCAAACCTTTTGTCCAACCAAATAAAAGACAAATGGTTCATATAATTTTGGGATTTTATAGAAAGCTGATTGTTTCAGGCTTACATAAGTTGATCTTATCATCCGAACAACATCTAAGAAACTTTATGGTTCTGAGTTGATCACAGAGATTAGTTAACTCCTGTATGTGATGCATACAGGATTGAATTGCATTTCATGAAAATTTAAATTGAGTAGTCTGTATATGAACATGGGATTCACATGCTCTCCAATTTCGTGGTAATTGGAGAGGGTTCAATTACCCCATTCTTCACTATCCGTTCCAATTTAAAGAGAAGACTAGGCCATGTAGGATTTTCACTATTGCAATTTTTATTTTCACAATAGCGGTTTTCAAGACAATAGTGGTTTCAACATAGTAGTGAAAACCTTGCATGAGCTAATCTCATCCAGAAGACATAATTCAATTTTTTTGGCTTATATGTCTTAAAAGAAACTAGCAGTTTGGCACGTGCAAATGCACAGGCCAAATATTTGAACTTATTTTTCTAAATATTATATTAAAAAAGGAAAAAATAGATAGTCATAAAGTATGTTTTTAATTTAAGCTAAGTTTAGGTTTTTTTAAGTTATAGTTATACATGTTAATATTCAGTATTCTATTATACTTTGAGTCCATAATTTTCTGTTTTTAAAATTTTTAATTTTCAAATGTTTGTGTTGTAATTGAACATATACTTTTAGTAGTTCTTGTCTGTCATTGTATTCCATCGTGAAAGGTATACATTGATAAGGAAAAATCATAAGATTGAATTTGATATACAAAATTTTCCCTTGAAAATTTGAGATTCTTGATTTAATAATTATAATTGCATTATTTTATTTTATGTTTAATTTATATCTGAAATAAAACTCAGTGGACTTGGATTTCCTTTCAAAAACTTTTACTTGTAAAGTTTTAATTGTGTTTGTTAGAAAGGGAATGTGCTATAAGTGTTTTTAATTAATTGCGTATGAGAGAGAGAGTGCATAGGGAAGTATGAAACATTTAATATTCATGTACAATGACAAAATTTCCCTCATGTCTTTTGTGGAATAAAGGTCACTTTCCTCCTTTCATTCAAAATTTCCTGCACAGTTTTTTATATAGTAGTATAGATAGGCGCATTATCATGCACATTTCACTGTTGTCTTTACTTCGCTTTGTCGTCCTCTAACGCTAACCTTTTACAAAGCAACCCTAGTTATTATTATTCACATACTTGGTCGAAATCATGAGCATTCTTGATTGAGTTGGATCCATTAATAAAAAATTAGAGTAAATGATTATCATGATATGTAACAGTTCCATACAATTACATAAAGCAGATGTTTACGTTGTAAATCGCTAATCTCATATGCTATCACTAACAAACTATATGGATATCTCAATTTATCTTTGTAGTTCTAACGAGTTGATTGTTTTTTCTATAATCCTGATTATCCAAATAATTTATTGGCGATTGTTAGGTATTGATTGGGTGTGATGGAGTGCATTCTGTGGTGGCACAGTGGTTGGGGCTCGCGGCTCCCATTAATTCTGGTCGATCAGCTGTTCGTGGATTGTCAATTTATCATGAAGGCCATAGGTTGAGTAATGATGCCAACCAATTTATTTCTTATGGTAAAAAGGCTGGTATGATTCCTCTCAATGATAAAGAGATCTATTGGTTTATCACCAATCCTACTACAAGAAGAGGTAAAGTTCTTTCATTCAAATGAGAAACTTTAATTGGTTCCTTTCTCATTATTTGCCTTGCATATAATCACACATTAGTCGCGAAATTTCAAAATATATGAATATAATCCGAAATTGGTATTAGCATATGTCAGAATATAGGTAATGAGTGATTAAGGGGGTGTCCGGTTTGCGGAAAATTGGAACTTCAACTGAAGTTGCAATTTGCCAAGGTCATTATAGTTGCAACTGTTCACTTTGCTGCAAGTGTATCTTTTATAACACGATTATGAAAATGAGGTGTTTTTTGCGAATTTTTTTAGTGGTGGATAAACGAGATACTTTTTTTTTGTAACTGTACTTGCTAAGGACTAAAGTCATAGTGAAACAAAGCTGCAAATACAACCTGTTTTACAAATTACAATTAGGGCTTGTTTGGTAACCAGCATTTCATTTTAAGTAGTGTATTTGACTCAATTGTATTGTTTGGATCCATAAGAATTTGAATACTGGATATTGGCCCAAATCCATTAACATTTTAAACTTATACAAGACCCATAATTCTAAATCCTGATAGATAGCCTGTCATTTGCAATTCCCGTTTCTTCTCTGTCCCTCCCGTTCTCGCGATCTCCCCCCGCCTCCCTCCCGCTCTCGCGATCTATCTCCCTCCCTACTTCTGCTCTCAACCAGCAATGGCGACGGCGACCACGACGACGACGACAACGAGATCCAGTTTTACCTGCAAGCCCTAATTTCACCTCCGGCGACGACGACGATCATTGAAAACGGTGAGAACTTCTCGATCCTCTATCTCTAGTTCCACTGAAACCCTAAATTCTAGATTCAAACTCTATTCTCTCAATTGATTTCTCTACCGAGCTCCCTCCCAGCCAGCGAAAAACCCAGCCCGCCATTTCTCCGCTTTCCAAGATTGATTTCTCTACCGAGCTCCCTCCCAGCCAGCGAAAAACCCAGCCCGCCATTTCTCCGCTTTCCAAGCCCTAACTTTCTTCCTCTCGATCCACTGCCAAAACCCTAACCCTAGCTACCGCCGGCGATCTCCGCCCAAACCCTAGCACCTCAATCATATTATTGGTGGTCGATCTCTGGATGGGCAGCGGTGAGAGCCCGGAGGAGCCAAAGAAAGGTCGATCGAAGACGCCCAAAAAGACCAAGAAGAGTGTGCTAAAGCAAAGTAATTTCCACCTCAGCTTTCATTTTTCAACTTGTCTCTCTTCAATCGATCTGTGACTTGTAGTGATTTGAGGGTGAACCTGTTTGTCTTGTAGAATCCCCGGTGGAGTTCTTCGTCGAGAACAAAAACATTGCTGGATTCGATAAAGTGAGTTCTTCTCTCTAGTGTTATTGTCCATTTTCAAACTAGTAGTAGAAGTTTTGTTGAATGTTTGAATGTTGCTCAGTGCAAATTGAGCTAATATTGATGACCAATGTTCTTCGAAAATCTAGTATCTGTAGAAATGGACATTAGACATGCTTGAGTTTCTTGAAGTGCATTCGGAGGGTAGAAAATGAGTGTTTTGTTGAGGCTGATAGCTTAGAAGCTTCTTATTAAGCTGATATTTCCCATGTATTTTGTTGTGGGCGGCTAGCATTTTGAGCAACTATTGTAGAAATATTATCAAAGTGAAGTCTAACGCGTGCTTCTACTGAAATGTTGATGTTCATTGGATTTTGGAAGATTTGTTGATTGAAAATTGATTTTTACGCGTGCTTCTACTGAAATGTTGATGTTCATTGGATTTTGGAAGATTTGTTGATTGAAAATTGATTTTTGTTATATGTAGCCTGGAAAATCTCTGTTTCATTGGATTTTGGAAGATTTGTTGATTGAAAATTGATTTTTGTTATATGTAGCCTGGAAAATCTCTGTGCACAACAGTTCGAGAGCTTGTTGAAAATTCTCTGGATTCAGCGGAGTCTATTTCCGAACTCCCAATCATTGCAATAACAATGTAAGACCTAATTATTTTGACCATTAGTTCTGCTTGGATCATAAGCATTGTGATTGTTTGTGTGCATTATGAGGTACAAACAATTTAGCGTCATTGGTTATTTGTACAGCTCACTTGGAATGATGCGGTCATTGATAGGGATGGTGACATATATCTTGAACTTAATATAAAAATTTCAATCTCCTTCTTTAACGAGGTATGGCATTTTATGAGTGAGGTTTTTGGTTGTGATCTCTGCCTTCTTTAAGAATATCAATCTCCTTTTTTAACGAGGTATGTCATTTATTCAAGCAGAGTTTTTCAGCCCTATATATTTGATCGGAACTTGTTGATCTTATGATTCTCGATGACTGATTAGATCAAGACCTAGAAAAATCACTCAATGCTTTTAAGTTCAGCGGGAAATGTTGATCGGATAGCCGAATTAGTGATATTTGTGAATCAAAAGAGTAGTTTTATTTGGGAGAAATATTATGCTTTTGTGCTCTTATCTAATAAAGGGTTATAAATTTTCAAATTCTTATTGGATTTTATAAATTATAGTATCTACTATGTTTTTCCCCTTTTGAAAGGTCCAATGGCAAGGAGAAGCTTTTCCTTTAATTCGATTGACTAGACTATTGTGATTGTTAATGTACCACAACTTGTTGGAAAAGTGAGACCTGTAACAGGAGTACTATAATGCCCATGTATCGTGCACCATAAGAGGCTATTGTTTCATGGATATTCATTGTTGGTCTGAGACAAGTATTTGTGGTCTCGATTTTTTTCCCTACTTTAGTTTTCAATTCAAAATCAGTTTCTTTTTTACTGTCAGTTTGAAAAGTATGTTTGTTGTTAGTCTATCTTAGTCAGAGATTCTAATTATGATAAAATTTGTATTTGTCTACTGTGAGTTTTTCCCATATTGTTATTAGTGACTCATTTGTGTTTTCCCTCCTCCAGCATCACTTTCTTGGTTATAAGTAGGAAAGTTGCTGTCTTAGGGAAAAACTTCCTTAATTGGATATATGGCGTGTTTTGGATGCTGCGGAGAAGAAGACTTTCACCAAGCTACTGATACGGGAAGACCTTTCACTGCACACCATGCGACAGGTTGGTTCTTGCTTTTCTTAAGTAGATTTAACTTTCATACTATTGGCTGTCACGTTGGCCATTAGAAAATAGGGTTAGTCGGATCAAACAGAATTTTGGTGCTAAATTACAGGAACATGCTTAAGATGAACTTCTTCAACAATTCCAGCAATCAACCAAGCGGCTCTATGGTAAAGATAGACATTAGTTTTCATTGAGTGGATATGTTCTCTTATATCAAAAGGTTAATCTTTCAGTTTGTATTGTAATGTTCCTGAAATCAGTCAGCTCTTTCTTCTGAGATTGTCGAACATTCCATTTTCTTCTTACTTTCAGTAATTTATTGGTCGAGGTAGTATTTGGACTTGTTGGTGGCATGGTTTTATATACGGAACAGCTCTGCTGAAAACATCCCTCCCTTTTGGTGTTCTTGTTATTGTTTCAGGTGATTTAAGAACCCGCAAAACAAGACTTTCTGAACGAGGGACGAAACTACAAAAGAAATACAAAGTGAAAGTGTACAAGCATTAGAAAGAATCTCTCATTTGAATCAGATGTAAAAGTTTTAAAGAAACTAGTGCGAGAGAAAACTTAAACATGACACTATGTAACTGCAAAATATTAACTTTTGTTGGTTTGTATTTGTTGGATATTTTGGATCTCTAGTTTGTTCAATTGTTATATGCAAATTTGAAGTTTCTACTTTATTTATTGTTTTGGTTAGTGGTGGATGAGTTTACAAGAATTGTTATATGCAAATTTGAAGTTTCTACTTTATTTATTGTTTTGGTTAGTGGTGGATGAGTTTACAAAGTTTTATTGATGAATTTATTGTTTTGGTTAGTGGTGGATGAGTTTACAAAGTTTTATTGATGAATGATTTCGGTTATTTTATGGCGATTATTAGGTCAACTATTGACATTACTGCATTTAAGATTTTAAGGTATTTTATCTATATGTCAAATTAGTTGGATATGTGATATACTATTTGAGGCATTTATTTCCACTAATTTCAATGCAAAACTTATGTAATTTGAGTATCTTCTTTCTAAATTATCTTCGAGCTACAATTTTAGTTCAGAAATTAGAATTCTACTAGTTAGCAAACAACTCAATTCAAAATTTTAAAATTAAAATTTTAAAGTTTGCCAAACATGAATTTCAAATTGAATTCTGGAATTCAAATTTGGATATTTCACAAATGAAGGAATTAAATTTGAAATTCTAGATTTTAAATTCCAGATTTTAATTCTGGAATTTGAAATCAAATCATTGAATCCAAACGCAACCTTACAGTATTTGTTTAATGTGGTGTTTTTTGCAAAAAAAATTTGGGGTGGATTTGATTGCAAATTTTTTTTGCAAAAACGAGATACTTTTCTGTAACTGTACTTGCAAAGGATTAAAGTCATAGTGAAACAAAGCTGCAAGGACAACTTGTTTTACAAATGACAATTACAGTATTTGTTTCAAAATGTCTGTGTATCAAACAATTACAATATTTGTTTCTAATGACAATTACAGTATTAGGCCTTGATCATCACAGAACATTACGCTTTACCCCGCGAGCGCAGGGTTTTTTTTTTGGTGGGGTGGGTGGGGGGTGTGGCTACTGAGGATCCTCTGTAGTAAGGTAAAAGACATGACACATACACTTCCAATTTTAAATTACTGTTATCAGTAAATATTTGGGCAACCTATTAAATATTAGCAAAAGCAAAAATAATGTACCCAACGCCAGTGAACCGGACGGTTGGAAGGTTCTAATACGGCTCCCACTGTCTTAGGTTCGATTCGGGTTGGGTTATCAACTCGACTAAAAAAAAGAAGAAAAAGAGGAGAAGCAGCAAAATAATCTATCAGTGCTCTTAAAAGTCGCTTCCACTGCACCAGTAACTCAGAGCCAAACCCTAGATTCAACATAGTCGTATCTTTTATTTTTAAACATGCTTTAAATAGTCACTAGCACTTAAACTGGGTTGCTATGGTATGATCTCAATGTCCCTTCCCCTAGATCAAACTACCAAAGTTGTGGCAAAGATTGGAACAATTGTCATGTTCTCGTATTTGTATGATTTTATATAGAGGGCCTAATCACCTTCTAAATATATCCGTAATTTCTGCAGAAAGGGACATCACTGATGAATTCACGTGGGACCCTTCCCTCATTGTAAGCAAAGTCATAAACCTAGCCAAGGGATTTCCTCAAACATACCTCCCTGTCGTTCAACACTCAGACCTCTCATCAGTGACGTGGGCCCCCCTCATGCTCAGGGCCCCATGGGACGTGCTCACCGGGCCCAACCTCAGAGGAACAGTCACGGTAGCAGGAGACGCAATGCATCCAATGACTCCTGACCTCAGTCAGGGTGGCTGCTCCGCGCTTGAGGATGCAGTCCTTCTTGCAAGAAACTGTTGTGCGCAGCGGAAATTTCGGCAGAGTTTCTGGTGCACAATAAGAGAGAAAGATCAATAAGAATTCCCGTCTCACCAAGGAGACAAGAATCTGAAGCGAATATCTCAACAAAGTGAGATATCGGTTCTTCCTCTCATCAGTTCTAGGACTGACTTTTCGAGGGATCCTAAAACTATTACAATGATCACAAACTCAAACAAACCAATTTTACGTGGTTCGGCAAACTGCCTACGTCCACGGGGCAAGGAGGGGGATCTACTATTAGAGAAAAAAAAATACAAATAGGTTTACAATTCTCACAATCTAAACCCTCAAATAGTCTCTCAATTCCTCTCTCAAAAGCCGTTTGAGAACCCTCTGTTTCTGCACCCAAAACAGCCGCCACAGCACTTCTTCTCTGCACTTGCACGCCCCCACTTTGCACTATACTTGCTCACATCCAAAAATAATTCCCCAGCTTGCAGCCGTCTTTTAACCCACCTCGCACACCTCGCACACAAAACCCTAGGCTATATTTATAGCTTGGAAATCGGGTTGATAGGGGTTGAAATCCAAACCGGCTGCTATCTTTTCACACGCGAGCCTTCCTCTTTACGTCAGATTCTTTGCTGCTATCTTTTCATGCATTGAGAGTGCGGTGGTCCCCACCCATGTGCTTCACAATTCTCCACCTCAGTGAAGTTTTCTCAAAACTGAGCCGACACCAACCAAAACAAATGTCTCACTTGTTACGTCCAGGACGCTGTGAAACAATTCACAACAACGGACTCAATCCACAACAAGTCGAGACCCAAACGGGAGTGCGAACACTCTCCCATACGTCGATGTCTACTCACCAAATCGATCTCACCCCATCAAAATCCAACCTGGCTGCATCATAAAGACTGCCTACGTATCCTCTTGCCCAAGGAATCAAGCCGAACGTAGTTCACCCAAATGGCCGCGAATGACCTCAATCAAATAGAAGAGTTCGCAACCCTTCTCCAATATCATCAATTCTGCGGCTGATAGCACCTCCAATGGCCTCAAACACCTCCACCTGAGGTGAACCAATGACCATATCCAAACTATGTCTGCCAGCTACATTCGAATCAAAATCCAACTCATCATCTGCATCCAAAACCAATTGATCCCGAAGCTGTGTCACCTTAGCTAGAATCCCAAATGATGCAGTATGATCTGGAGTAATCTTCACCCAATGTGGAGTAGCATCACTCTCCACCCGCTGCGATACCTCTAAGGTCTGTCCAAAACTCTCCACCTGCTGAGAGTCAATTAGCTCCCTCATCGAAGCCTCAACCAAAGTGACACAATCAGACCTATCTTCCAATAGAGTTTTACCTCCAATCACAACAGTTGTTAACTCTTTAATAGGATAATCCAAATATGTCGAAGCCTCAGTCCAGAAACTCTTCTGCAAACCATCGCTCGACCACAAACACCGATCCTCCTCCAACAAGGCACGGTTCTCCAAATTTGTCACCCTATCTAGTTGCCCTAAGATTTCCTTTCCAACAAAGTGTCTCGAAATGCCGTGAGCTCGGTTCCAATACAGAAATAGGTCCATCTTGTACCTCCCACCAAAATCAGAATGAAGTACCTTCACCTTTCTATCCATCTTACACTTCTTCAAACTGTTAGAGACTACTAGGACTTTCTCCAAAGGGGATTTGGTTGCAACCCAAACACGCCTAGAACAGTCATCAACAAAGGAAACCAAACGCCTATTACCTCCCAATGATGCCCTCTTGGGAGGCCCCTAAACATCCACGTGAACTCCTCCAGAACGATCCTTAACTCGGTGAATAGAGGTGTCAAACTTCACCTCGGTCTTCTTGCTCACATCAACATGTTCACTGGACTTCAAACTGCAGGTCTTCGCACCCTCTTTCAATCTATGCGAGGAATCAATACTGGAATGGCCAAACCCCAAATATCGCAGTCTAAACGAATCAATAGCAGTCGCCAGCTCTCCACCTGCCACTATACCTCCAGTCAAGTAATACAGGTTATTCCTCCTGACGCCCTTCATCACAATCTGAGAGTCTTCCACAATCTCAAGAACCATGTCCTCAACACGAACCTTCAAACCCTCACCAACCAAAGCTCCAATTGAGATCAAGTTCTTCCTCAAGGAAGGAACATATCTCACATCATATAACTCCCTAACAGCCCCATTAAATATCTTGATGCGAAATCTTCCTATCCCAAGGATCTGGCATGTACGGTTATCAGCCATGTACACCACACCACTATCCAGCTTCTCAAAACTAGAGAACCATTCCCTTCTAGGGCACACATGATAGGTTGCACCACTATCCAACATCCACTCGGATTCCTCCGAATAGCTACACGTAGGACTGATAGAAAGCGAATAAATAGAAGACTCAGAAATATTACCATCCGATACGATGTTTGCTTCTGATGATGGTTGCTTTCCTTTTCCCTTCTGTTTATTCTTCATCCACTCATCGAGCTTTGGACAGTCTTTCTTCCAATGACTAGTTTCCTTGCACCAAGCACACTGATCTTTTCCTACTCTAGACTGTGACTTCCAATTCTTTCGGTTTGGACCATTCCCTCTTGCGGCCAACGCCTCTGCTACCGACTTAGTCGAAGTCTCCTTATCCTTCTTCCGAAGTTGATAATTCACCAGTGCAGCAGTGACCTTACTATACGAAAGAGATGTCTTCCCATTAATCAGAGTAAGGACGAAGGTCTCATATACCTCGTCGGGCAAGGAACTCAACAACAGCAACGCCTTATCCTCATCTTCAATCATGGCATCCACATTCGCCAAATCCGCAAGAAGTTTTGTGTAGGTGTTCATGTGATCTCTAATTAAGGTTCCCTTCTTCAACTGGAAACGATAAAGTCTCCTCTTCAAATGCAAGCGGTTCTCAACACTCTTTGTCAGATACTTGCTTTCGAGAATCTCCTAAATCTTCTTTGCAGAAGTCTCATTCATCACATCATATTTTAGATCTTGAGTCAAACAAGATCTAATCACACCACACGCCGTTCGATTCATCTTTTTCCAAACCTTCTCTTCAATCTCATCTAGCTTGCCATCTAACTCCAAGGTATCCTCCAAATTCTGCGCGTTCAGCGCATCCAAAACCTCGCATCTCCATAATCCAAAATTGTTTGTGCCATTAAACTTCTCCACATCTATCTTCATAGAGTGGATATTCAAACTCTGAATGGTCTTCGCGCCAGAAGCACCACCCTCGACACCCGAAGCACCTTCTTTCCCCGACATCTTTCTAAACGCACTAACGAACGAAGAATAGATCCAAAACTAAAAAGATAGAGTCTTTTACCAAAAGATCCCACCTTTATCACCAAATGAAGCTCTAGACGAGCTTCCAAATTGATCTACTCCTCCAAATAGCCCAAGCGTAGCCCGAGCTTTGATACCACTTGTTGTGCGCAGCGGAAATTTCGGCAGAGTTTCTGGTGCACAATAAGAAAGAAAGATCAATAAGAATTCCCGTCTCACCAAGGAGATAAGAATCTGAAGCGAATATCTCAACAAAGTGAGATATCGGCTCTTCCTCTCATCAGTTCTAGGACTGACTTGTCGAGGGATCCTAAAACTATTACAATGACCACAAACTCAAACAAACCAATTTTACATGGTTCGGCAAACTGCCTACGTCCACGGGGCAAGGAGGAGGATCTACTATTAGAGAGAAAAAAAATACAAATAGATTTACAATTCTCACAATCTAAACCCTCAAATAGTCTCTCAATTCCTCTCTCAAAAGCCGCTTGAGAACCCTCTGTTTCTGCACCCAAAACAGCCGCCGCAACACTTCTTCTCTGCACTTGCACGCCCCCACTTTGCACTGTACTTGCTCACAGCCGAAAATAATTCCCCAGCTTGCAGCCGTCTTTTAACCCACCTCGCACACCTCACACACAAAACCCTAGGCTATATTTATAGTTTGGAAATCGGGTTGATAGGGGTTGAAATCCAAACCGGCTGCTATCTTTTCACACGTGAGCCTTCCTCTTTACGTCAGATTCTTTGCTGCTATCTTTTCATGCATTGAGAGTGCGGTGGTCCCCACCCATGTGCTTCACAGAAACATCGGACATGTAATAAGATTAAGGAAGAGTCTGGAGGAAGTTGAGGAGGGAATGGAGAAGTATGTTAAGGACAGGAGATGGCGGGTTTCGGGTCTTGTTATGGGCTCGTACTTAGCGGGTTGGGTACAACAAGGTGGGTCGGGGATTTGGTCTTGGGATGTTAGGGTTTTCAGGGATTATGTTTTCAATAGTTTTTTTCTATCCTAAGATTAGTGCTGCTGTTGAATATGATTGTGGTGTACTTTCACTGCAGCGAATAGATTGAGTTGTGTGGTATAAGAGTATTAAGTAATTGGTTGTTTGAATTCTTATTTCTTGTTGATATTTTCATGCAATACAATGTCATGCAATGTAACTAAAAAGGATTCTTATGGTGCATATGATATGATATGAATGATTATTACCACACGAAATAATAGTGATGATGATCAATTATTGCATATCAGTTAATAGATTTCGTACTTATACTAAAAAGAAATGATCCACCACGCATCACCCTTTGAATTGTTTACATTATAATAAATAAACAGTAAAAGAATGTGAAGTCCCAATTATGTCATATTCCATAGACATAACTCCATGTTAGAAAGTTTTCTACTTGTCGTATTGAAAAAATAATTTCTTTATTGATTTTGTACAATCTTCGACAACTATGCAATCCATGAACCAAACAACTTCAGCTTTTTAGCCGTCGATTGCTCCACCACCACCATCTCCTCCTCCTCGACCGCCTCTCGGTTAACACCCACATCAATAATGAACTCCCTTTTATCTCCCTCTTCATGCCAATAAAACAAAACTCTATCCTTAGCTTTAACCTTCTTTTCCTTCACAAACAAATTCCACCCTGATGTAAACACAAAACTCTGACTACTCGGCCAATAACTATACTTAAACCTCCACAAATTACCTTCAATATCCTTGAACTCCAACAAATCTTTAGACTCCCCGAAGTACTTCGCAAATTTCTTAGGCACTACAAGCCTACTCAACCTCCCAACATCACTCATTGTCAACTCCTTTTCAAACAAAAGCAGAAACTTCCTATCCTCAATATTTCTCACATTAACTAAACTGAGAAACTCAGCAAATTTCCGCTCGTATAGTCCGTCCTTAATCATTTTCAGCACGGTCTCCGTGCTGACGTAATTTTGAAAGGCAGGCTCGTGCACGGTGATCTCCGTTAATGGGAAATTTCGATGGATGTTGACGTCGAGGTTGAGTTTTAGTGCAGCGCTGTCATAGGCGGCCGCAGCCTGGTGTTCTGTGTCGAATGTACCGAGCCAGATACGGGTGTGATTTACATATATTTGTGCGCCCCAGCGGTTGTTATTTTGAGGGATGACGCCCTTGAACTTAGATTTGGTGACCGAGAGATTTGTGTTCATGAAGGAGCTCATTGAGGGAGAAACTAATTGAAGTTGTAGCAATTCTTCTTCTTCTTTGTTTGGTATCCTATATGATATAAGTAATAGTATTATTATACATTAACAACCTGCAATCAGGCGGGGCGCGGCGGGGTCCGGGGGGGCGTTAATCATATGAATGGCCCTTACATTGTGTACATGCTTGGAGAGAAGAACAAGAAGTGGGGTTGGGTATTACTTGCAGAGGGAGACGTAATTGATGAAAATATTTCCGAGAATGTTTTTATAGTATATTTGTAGGATAAAAATAGAAAAAAAATATTTAGATTTGATAGGATGATAGCTTGGCAAAAAGGCAACTTTCAGCAATTTGTTGCTGTTTTTAGCCCGAAATAGAATAGTTATGGTCATGCTATGGCTGTTTTTGGAATTTCGCTGTTACTAATTCTAATCAGTTATATTCTCAATAAATTCAGATATACACAACTTGGCGTGATCCTGAGATGTTTCAGGGCACAAACTGACAACTCAATTTTGTTGTTCGTCAAATACTGGAAAAATCCATGTTTTTAATCATGCCGATATATCTTTCTAATAATAGCCATCAGTTTCTCAAAATAATAAAACAAAACAAATAAAATCATGAACCAGGATTATAGCTAACAACTTGGATCAAAAGAAAGAACCATAAAATTCAGGAAACTTTCATCCATGGTTGGCTGTTCAAATTTGTACAACAGCAACCAAATTTTCCTCAGTTCCCCAACATTGTCACCAAAGAATCATACAGCCATGTTTTTCTTCTCATACAAAGTTCCTCATCTTATTGTTCGCTCCCAAACCTCACAAAGCAATCAGGGTTGCCAACTCCTTGTCGTGCCAGTGTGTTCATCATATCGTGGAATGGGCCTCATAGTTAAAGAGGCCACCTTATCTCAAATCAGCAAACGCTAACAAATGCTATGTACAGATCTTGGAGAAATAACGTCTAATGAAAAAGGGACCAAATCACGATCAAGCTGAGCTCCAATACAACAGATGCTTTGGATGCAGATGTGGAGATAGAATTGGAGTCAGTAGTCAACATGTTGCATTCAGTTACTCTGCCATCCCCATCCATGGTAACAATGTGAAAAAGTTAATATGCTTCTTGTAAATGCAGTTTAGATGTCATGCCTAAAAAAATTGTTATTGCCTTTGTTGTGGATTGCGAGGTCCTGGCACTGATTTTGCTTGAGAAAACCAGTTGAATACACAATGAAATTGAAACTACCCAGAGAATAACCATATAATCAAGACTGGGGTTGTTAGAATAAGAAATACCTTGCGAGATAGAATGAACCGCTAAGCAACTTGAGCCAAACATTCTGGTTTCATCACTGGATAATAGTCATAGGGATGAAACCAAAAGTTAGTAAAAAGCAGGCACATAAGAGAGATTAAAAGCAAAAACAAAAACAAAAGCATGTATGTATATATATATATATTTACTGTTTTGAAGGATAATGTCTGCTCTGGTGAAGGAGCAACACAGGCAGGACTCCGTTCTGTTGCTGTGAAGTCGGAAAAAGCCTGAAGCTCAGTGATACTACTACCCCTCCTTGCATGAAAAGTTCCTGTGCCTGTACTTTGAAATCTATATCCCTCCCCATATGTCATTGGAGAAGGTCTCAAGCTGATTTGACTTACTTCGTCCGCAGAGTCCAACTAATACGATTTTTTACCGAAGGCCAATAATCAGCTAACTGAGTAATATCATGAAATCAGTCTAATCAGACAGGAAGTTGAACATACATTACCCATATCTTTAATGTGTACAATAATAAGTGTAATGTCATCAGTCCTTGTCTCATGTTCTAACCATGTCTTGTATGATTCCGCAGCAATTGCTGCACAAGCATCACGGGGGTCCTTGAAGCTGACAACCTGCACCAGTAAGAAGGTGTGCATACAATAGTACGGCCATGGAAAATCAAATTACATCTATCAAATTTCTTTAAAATGCACAGTAACTCATCAGGTAGGAGCATAGTCACATGCAGTTAAAAGGATTAGGAACTGGATAGAGAAGAACACATTATTCTTACTACACCAAAGGGAACCATGACAGGGTTTACTATTTTATGTCAACCACAAAGGATACTTGACTTTTCAATAATCAATATAAACATGTCAAGGGTAATGACCTTATCACTTCACATCAGAGCAGAGAGATACGAGTTAGCTCAGAGCTTTAAGCACATAGTTGAATTTGTTCTAATTGCAAACTAAGACCATGTTATATGCTCAGCCAATGTAATCCACAAAGTACAGAATGAATTTTGCTAATATTAATTATCAGAAAAGACGTGATATACCATCTCAGATGTTGCAACATTTCACATGAACATCCAATCACCAAAAATGGCTGATGGACCGAACATGAAACAATCAATACAGGCAATACACCACTCAACACAATCACATCACCTCCTTGGCAAGAGTGCCATCATATCCTCTCCAGATTATCATGGTCATATATCCTAATCTCCAAACTAACTAACTAACTATGCATGCATTTTTTAAAAATGCACATTGTAAACGAGTATAAATTATTACCCTCTAGCGAACCAAACTTTCAGAGTTTTGTAGTAGTGATAGAGACTTTAATATGGTATCAGAGGGCATTGGGTTCAAATCCTATCACACATGTACTGAAAGTGGATTTTAGAAGAAAAAGTTCTCGTAAAATAGCTTAAGTTTCAATCCATTCAAAGTGCTCAAATTGCAGGTGACAACATAAGAGTATAAAACTATAACATTCAACCCTTACCACAACCCTTGCCAGAGTTTTGATGTGGAGGAAGAGACTATACACAAGTAGCAGTCAATGCCAACCATTTCAACATACCAAATAATGAGAAAAAGCCACATTGCAGTCCTCTCGTGTGTGAGAAACTGTCAACTTGCATTAGAAAAGATAAAAGGGAAAGTTCATTTATGGCTACTGTTGCATTGTGAAGCAAAGAAAACACATCTCATGGTCCTTATAGATGAGCCCTTAACAATCAATTGGTTAACATGCCTAAGTAAAAACTGATAAAACTTGCATTCTGGTCCATTTTGTGAGTTTCTTTTTACAAACCAGTGCCAAAAGATCTATTGAAACAGAAATCTCCATTGCACAACTGACACCAGCTAGTTCCATCGATTAACTAGCACAAATATCAGAAATAGCTAATCATAAATTTCCACTAGATGATGGCTCCCACATCAAATAGTTTTCCTCGCTACCTAAGGCAAATGTGCCAGAAATTTAAGGAAAAGAGACCTTATAGTTCCATTCTAGTTCCAGTTCTATAAGTACCCTCATAGAACTGTGAAGTTTCGTTGGAAACATGACAACAACACATAAGTATAGAAGGTAATGCATTGGGATAAACTTCCTTTCACCTTCTTGAGTTTGTGGTGTTACAATCATAAACACAAATCATAGCTTGTCAGATTTCTATTATATATAGTCCAATATAAAAAATTTAGCCTGAAAAGGGTATTCTGGATTATAAGCACCCGTTTACATGAAGAGAGTAAAAAAGGCTATAGTTGGTTTTGTCAAAATATTTATCCATCAAAAGGAAATATATTTGCTAAAGCACCTTTGCATACCAGCCATTCAACCTAAGGATAGAGTTTGTAGTTACCAAAATCCAGATACTAAACCTAATGAGAGGAATTCACATCTATACGAAATAGTTACTAGACGCATTCTATTGATTCCTTTCTTTAATCATAGGAAACGAAGCATGCTGACCTTTGCACCAACAATCATCCTCCCATTAATTTCTAAAAGTTGTGTTCTTCTAAAACAATAACCACATCTGTCTGCGTGCTCTTCACATAAGGTGACAGATCCATGTTGTAAAACTGACATGGATGTCAACTTCGTGCAATAGGTTCACATCCATCCTCTTGCTTCCTGGCATGCCCTAAATATATTTTGTGATTGCATTGGATTTTTTATAAACACGGAACAAAATCATCACATGGTATTCTACTGCTTCTATGGTAAGCTCATTTTATTCTTCTCTTTTTTGGGGGTTATTATAGTCACACACTAATAACTTCTACAAGATATATGTTGAAATATTTGGTATGGTAGTCATTATTTACCAAGATCGAACTAATTAAAACTTTAGATAGATCTTCTCTAGCAGCACTTTCTCAAAATAGTATCATATGCCATAAACTACGCCATATAATCTCTATGGTAGCTGGTAAGAGTTCTTTTAGCTATAGCTATTTTGTATTAACACATGATTCATAAACTCCAGATCAGTAAAACAAGCTCAAAACAGTTATCTACCAAAAAGAGGAAACCGACGTAAAACAAATTCTGAAGACAAACTAACCACAGACTTTTCTCACCACATTTATGACTTATGAGGAACCATGTACCCATCAGTAGCCACCTCAAAAGCGCATAAAGTAACTCTTTCTTGTTGCTTGATGCATCATCTTAAACCTCTATTTCATCTACGAACAACCAGACAGCTACTATATATGTTATACAATTAAGATGTAAAAAAGCAAGATTATTTTTATAGCCAAATCACCAGAGTACAGCTCTCAATCCTCCAAAAGAATATAAAATGATCTACTAAAAGCAAACTAGTTCTTCAAGTGCCCAAAATGTTAGCTCGATTATTGGGAATGTGGCATTACCCATCACCACACAACCATATTCGAACCTTTCATCTATCATAAAAGGAAGGGACAATAAAGAACATCACTCAACTTGAGAAAGCTGCAGCAAAGAAGGAAAACTTTTACCAAAATATGAAGTAACTTCCTAAATGTCACTCTGCATAAACTTGATGAAACTAAATCCTTGTAATATAGAAAACATACAAAATGGCCAGAAAAAATTATGCAACATCTTATATTTACCCAAATTAACAAACCAACATAAACAAATCTAAAACTGAAAAATCAAAACTGCAAATTCTCTGCCGTTGCATCCCCAACGCTCCTCGTAAACGCAGTCCCCGGGTACATCCCGTCCTGCACCCACAACCTCGGGGGGTCCCCATCGTCGCTCTCCTCGTCTCCCCAGCTCTGCACCTCAGGATCCTTGGTACCCTCCACCTGATCCACGCTCAGCACCCGGGCCCCACATTTCCGGACCCTCGCGTACTCATCCTTCCGGAAGGGCGTCTGATCACACGACAAATTCTCAGCAACAACGCAGTTTCGCTCCGTCCGCCCTCGAGTCGCGACATTGGCGATGTAGAGCGCGACCGCGCACACTACAAGGACAGCAAATGCGGCGCGCTTCGGCGCGACATGTCATCGATAATCCGGGGCCACGAAGAAGCGCATTGTCGAATGCCGCGGCGAACGATTTCGCGGGGTTTTGGGCGAGACCAGGATCATTCTCCAGGATCCGAGCTAGGGTTTCCTTAACAAACTCAGCACATTCGGTCCCAAACTGGCCGTGGCCATCGAAAACCGCGAACAAATGGAGGTTAGGGTTCGACTGCAGGTTCGTTTTGACCAAGAAGCTGTCTTGGTTGAGGCGGTCAGGGGATTCGGGGTAATGGCCGCGCTGGGCGAGGGAGTAGTATTTCAGGGCGAGTTTGCGGCGTGGGACGGCGGCGGATCCCGCGCGCTTCCGGTGAGGAGGTGGTGTGGAGGGAGGGGACGGGGTCGCCGATGCTGCGCTCGGCCTCGGACGGTTGGTGGGGCTCGCAGCCACCACCGCTCCGACGGCGGTGGTGACGCCCGGGTGCGAATCTTGCCTCTGCGATGCAACCCATTGATTTTCGAAGTCTCGATTGATGATGACGACGATGATGATGAAGGAAACCCTAATAAAGGAGGGAAGCGAGCAAGCGATCGCAAAAGGAAACGAATCTGATTTGTGTTTCATCTTTTTTTTTTTCTGCGTACACCGGGAAATGATTCGCACCCGTTTGTTCACCGGTAGGGGTAGAGGGAATGGGTCCCACCTTAAGGACATGTTTGCGATCCTAATGCGTTCGAGTCTGGCGCTTCGCGGTAAGTAAAAAGGACAGGTGAGTTTGCTTTTGTCGTGGGTTTGTTTCAGAGACGCGTGTTTTTAGGGACGGGGTTATCGTTTTATTTTTCCTTTTTTTTTAATTTGTTTTTTATTTGGAAAGAGACAACAAGCACGTGAGATTTTGTGCTTAATCGGACAAAACCCAGATTCGGTGGGTAATTTGTCCGGTCGGGGTCCTGGTCCGGGCCGGGCCAGTCCGGATAGTTTATTTTCAAAGCTTATCTTTTTGCTAAAAAAGTGTGACTTTAAAAAAATCAAAATTAGTTTCTGCCCGAACTGGATAGGGCCCGGCCAGGCTGCTTCGTTTGGTTTTTAGCCTTTGGAGCGGGCCGACCTGGGCTATTGACCTTGATCCCATCCCAATGGCTAGTTTTTCAGTTGTTGGGAAGGGTCTGGTCTATGTAACCACAAACCTGGCCCAAGGTACGTGATGCAGTGCCACGGCATCCTGGCTCATGTCGGACTAGGGCCGGGAACCGGTGAAAGTACATCCAGCTCGACTTTTTGAGCTTTTCCCAGATCCTAGCCGGCTCCGGGCTTAGAAAATGCTAGGCGGGGTTTTGGATCGGATCTGGCTTTTTGGATTGCCCTATAAATTATAGATAAATTATTTTTTAAAAAATTTAAAAAACTGTTATCTATATTATACTTTATTTTAAATGAATATTTAGAATAAATACGGTTGGCAATGCAATAATAGTTATATTTAGAATCCTAAGCTAAAGGGTGTGTTTCACAGTTTCATAATAGGACTAAGTTTGAACTAAGTTTTGCTTAATTAGATTAGAGTTGGTCTATATATGAGGTGGTTCAAAGGGAAACTAGTTTCGATGCTTAAATATGAACTAGATAAAACTAGTTTAATTTTGGCCCAATTATTGACAAACTTTAAAAAAAAACCTTTTGGACCAACATTGTACCAACTAAAACTAAGTTTATGGAGTTGCTAAGCACACTCTAAGTAGGTTAAAAGTTAAAACCGAATAGAAAACTATGGCTCAAAAAGAATCTTAGTAGTTTATTATCTATATATTTAGACTCATCATCTGAAGGGAGGCTTCTGATATTGAGCATATGCTATTCTTCAACCAAAAGCAACCAGGAAGGATTTAAGAAAAGCGTATGCTTTTCTTCAACCAAGAACAACCATGAAGGATTTAAGAAAGGAAAGTATTTTTCACATTGAATGAATATAACTCTGACCATGGCCATGTCCATATCCGTTATGCATTATGAATTTTTAAAAGTAATATATGATCTATCAAAAGCAAACAACAAACCTGGATTGCGAACGGTCGACCCAGATCCAAGGTTCACTTGGTCGGTACTGAGGTAAGATTTCTCGCACCAAATAAATAAATAAATAAATAAAAATATATTGTTTTTCTATAAATTAAAATTTTAAAACGTACGAACTTCATATCCACACATATTAGGCCACGTTCAACTAGAATTACTTTGAAATAGCTAATAAGAAAAAGAACGCAAAGAAAAAGAAAAGATAGGAACAAAAGATTTTAGACCCGGCTTTTATGCAAGTGGCTAGTATAATATATGTATCATGTTTTATGACAAGAACGTTAGTATAACATATGAACCATGTTTATGACTAGAGCTTTTGCTCAATCTCACCGTCTCCAAATAAATTGAATAGATAGCTCAAATGATTGATTTGGACTGAAAATTCTTTCGGGGTCTCCTTTCCTTTCCCTTTGACATTACCGGCAAGAAATGACCACGATGGTTCCATCTGATGAAAATTTTCATGAATATTAGTTTGTTTTTATTTACCCCTTTCCCGGCCACCAAAAATAATAAGGGTAATAAACTAATAATAATAGTAAATAAATAAATAAATAAATTAGGGAATCTTGCATAAAGCAAAAGCATCTCATTCCAAAAAAAAATTAGTAGTAAAGGAAGCTAACTTACAACAAGTAAACTCCCGTTTAAATGAAAATGTACATCAAATTTCTACATCATTCAAAATACGGAAAAAGACCTCTAGCATTCCCATCTTGCAATCGTATGCACTCCTCAAGCACCTTATTAAACCTGCTAATGCTCTCTCTACACCCAGGTGATATCTTCAGTTCATTGCTATACACTGTAGAAGGAATATTCACACTATCATGATCCTCTCCTTCACCATTACAAATAATATTAGTCTCAGAAATCAAGCTACCACCATAAAATATCTCTGGAGACGGCTTGAACACTGATATTGGCTTATCTGTGGACGGACTGTCAAAACTTATGTCCATCAATTCATCAAGAGAAATGTCGGTTCTAACAGAATGCAGGGGTTGCTGACTTTCTGTATCGCTTTCATCCTCATGGGCCAAAACATAGGCTTCCGAGTATTTGTTTCCTTTGAATTTCATTAACTGCCAATTGTAAATTCGTCTGAAGATCTCAACCCATCTCAGAACAATATAATGGTATGAGCCTCGGCGCTCAAGACCCGCACCCTTTTGTAGCATGACTCTCGCCTCTTTCACAGCTAAGTCGTAATTCAGTAATCGAGTTGACTCTGTTAGGTAGTTTATTATGATTTCTTCAGTAGCCAATTTCTGGTTCTGAAGCTCCTTGACTGAGGAAGAACCTTGGTTCAGCCAAGACATTTCACTGGCCCAGCTAGGAAGTTTACAGGCATTTATAGTGTTGATAATTGGCTCGATCCTTTCAGGTGAGCTCCAACCTATGCAAGGTAAATACGTTTCTGTTGCTAGCCGTTCATCATTTGATTTCTTGAGTAGGTTGATTTCAGGACTCGGCCAATTGTTTGGATTTGTAGAAGCTGCAGCAATGATTTCTTTTGCCGAGCAATCCAAGGCTTCATTGAATGCCAAGATGCAGTCATTTGGACCTATATCAGCACCTTTTGTGTTATCAAGTTTAGCAATTGACTGTCTCAAGTATCTGAGGGCTAATTCGCGGGTGTTAACCAATTGAAGTACAGGTTGAGGAGGTGAGTGATCAGCCAACCATTGAAGACCTTCTTTCAACCGAGCATCATCAAAGAGAATGTTGGGGTACTCTGATTGGCTTCTACTATGAAGAAAGATAGTAGACAAGGAGCTTATCTTTGTTCTGTCTGCCTTGTCAAGGCCAAGTCTGTTGATCATAGCAACTGAAGGATTGATGCTGTTTTCCTCATATGAATCGGGACACAGTATCAGAAGAGGCATGCTGGCTCCAGAAGGTATGGACGTCAAAAGTTTTTGGAGCTGAACACTTTGGATATCCCATGAAATACTTCCTGATGCTAGAAATAGTAAACAGCTCAAACCAGCTAGTAGACCGTCTTCACAAACATGATGATTGTCAGCTAATCCAAGGATAGATAAACAACAAACTTGAGATAGACTACTTTGGGTGTGAGTCCATTTCTTCCATATTGATAAACCTGGCTGCGAAACTAACAAGTTGTCACCTGTTATCATATCAGATCCCATTATCTTCGAGCTCAACCATTTCAAAGCCAAATTATAGGTTTGGCTTCCTGTGTCGTTTGTCTGGACAACAAGCTTCCATATTATGCATTTGGAATCAGGGTTTTTTCTACAAAGGATAGGTGAAACCAATTCTGCAACATTCAGCCTTTCCTGTAAATTCCTCAGTTTTTTGGATCTCTCTATTGTAACATGATCCATATTTAGCTGCTCAGCAGCATGAGCCTGCTCCTGCACTTCAGAAAAAAGTATAAGTAACCGCATTTATTAAAACATAAAATTGTTTTGAGAGTACAAGTGGAAAAGGATAAATATAAGGAACTCACCCCTGATATTTGTTGTCTGACAGGTGGTCCTATAGTTAACGAACTTAATGCAACATCTGCCAGGAACTCTCTCTGCTCCCGAATTTTTCTCAGTACAGATGATCTTTCTTTCCATTTTCTGTTAAATTGAGCCAAATCAGAATGACACAGACCGAGGAATAAAGCAAATAAATGACATGTCATAACAAAGATAAGAAATACAACAGAAATACAACCTTAAGATCGACTTCAGCTTTTGGCTGAAAGCTTCATCTTCCCGGTTAGGTACTAGCTTGGATACTTCATTCTCCAGGTTTTCCTCTACATCCATGTGAGGGACTGAATGTGCAGCTATGAGATCTAAGTTTGAGCTGACAGGTATTTCAGCTTGAACCATATTTACTTCTACAATCTCATCAATGCCAACAGATTCTACAATCTCATCCTTGTCAATAGGCTGTTCTTGGTCAATAACAGAATTGTCATCAAATAAACAAGTAGCCTTCACAGAAGAGGCTTCTGCCATTTCGCGATCAGTCTCTACATTTGAAATGGCAGGAGAGACGTCTGTAACTTCACTATCACCCTTTCGATTCCATATAGTCGGTGATGGCGCTTCACACATATATTGAGGTTCAGAGACAACCCTCGGAGTTAAATCCACTTTAGGTTCTAGCATATTTTTATTGACTCCATTGGTCCAACCTTCCCTCTTCAAAGAGTTTATTTTTGGACTAGATACCTCTGTTATAGATTCCGTTTTCCTATCTTCATTGGGTTCTGAGACAGCTGGACCAGATTTGACATCGTCTATAATACTTCTAGACTTCTTAAGATGGACAAGTCGCGAACATGTTGTTGGGTAATCTGCATCACTGTTAAGGAAGGGACCTTCTTTAACCATATACAGCTCTTTGTATCTCCTTAACGAGAAACCATGATATTCAAGGAGACTATCTATATCCTCCCCCTGAATAGGGGAAAAAAGAATCAACGTAGGAAAATTTGAAGATATATTGATTATTAGACAGATGCAACAGTTCCATAAAATTACCTCCATGCCCAGCCATTTTACAACATGTGACACAGGGATTCCTTGGTTATTCTGGAGTCCGCTGTGCAGAGAAGCAAGTGCCTGGGTTCTCAACTGTAAATAAAAAAGATCAGAACTTAAACCACGTGCATTTTCCAGAATAGAAAGGAAAAATTAAAATGATGCCTTTTGGTTTGTGTATCCTATTTAACTGCTTGACCTGTCAGTGAATGCAAACTGTAGGTTTGCTTTTCTCGCTCTCTTCAGCTTTCTTCTTAAAAAGAGAAGCATAGGAGATGTACTTGGAAAGAATCTATGATGTGTCAGGAGTCAATTCTAGGAGCACAAGCAGCATCCCAATTTTTTCCCTCAACGCTCAACCAGACAAAACTGACATAGGTGTTTGAAGGTGAATTTTTAGTGTTTAAGCCCTTTTATGGATCAACTGCATAAATAATTAGGAGGCAGCACAGTGATGATAGTTATGATGATGACAGTGAGCAGTCATCAAATTATAAGTTATCATTTCTTCACTTCCAATATGATCTATCTTTATATTCCTTTTCTGAGGTGAGACTTGGCACAACAATAAAGGTTGTTGCCAGGTGACCTGGAGGTCACGGGTCCAAACATGGAAACAGTCTCTCTGTGAGCGGGGGTAAGGCTGTGTACATCTGAGCCTCCCCAGAGTCCACAACGGTGAAAGCCACGTGCACTGGGCCACCCTTTTTATATACCTTTTCTGGTTAACCCCTTTCAACATCATGCTAAATTCAGTGGGGCACTTATTTCCTTTGATGCATCTCAATTTATCAATTCATTTGTAGCAATTGTTATAACAAAGTGCAAGAAAATCTATATTCAAAGCAATCATATAGTTAAAAATGCAGCCTCAACTGCAGCTTACATCAATCGGTCACACAGAAATTTTACTAGAAATAAAATGAATTAAAAAAAATGAATGATAACAGAAGTAACATTTTTAACTGCAACCATTCACTTGTATAAAAGACCAGCGCTACATTCATATGAACATACTATATACCTTTGCAAAGTGAGCATGCATCAAGCATGCTTGGAGGTAAGTTGCTTTTCTTGCAAGCCGAAAGAATGCTATAAAATTTCCAATCCTACAGCTCCTGAAATCGTGACATTGTCACATTACGTTTAATTCCAATAATGTACTGCTAAATAACTGCCAGCAGAATCAGACAATTACCTTGCAACATTTCGAGCAAATAAAATTTCTGGCGTGCATCTCATTTCAGGAGTCATCTTTGCAAGATCAAGTGAGAGTTCTGCAGGTTCTACCTAACAAAGACGCCTACATTAAGAACAACTATAATAGTTCAAATCCTTTCAAGAGAAAATGAAAATACTAACTTTGTAGCCAGGGTGCTTATCTAACTTGAGGAGAGCATAATAACCCCGGAACTCTTTCTCAGTTGGAACACTCTTCCCCTTCTTCCTGTAATCTTCATATATTTGAAATAATTCAACAGATGTCTTATTCATCTGTTCAATGTTGAGATGAGCATCAAAACCCTCCATGAAGCCTTCTCCTTTCTTGTACTCACACAGTTCATGCATTGCAATAATGTGGAGTCTTATCTAGTGATTAGAAAAAAGAAAAAAGAAAAACACTGAATCCAGGGTGCATAATGGAATTAGATATTAGGAAATCATAAACATCCCTAGAAATGAATAATACCATTTGCTCGAGCATAAGAATTGCCTCGCGATTAAAAATGTGCTGCATCCTGAGGTCCATCCTAACTGCTCTCATCCTATCCCACAAGAAGTTGTAGATACCCAAAAAACTTTCGCCATAAGGTTGATCCAGCAAGTTAAGAAGATAATCAACTGTGTGCCGCAACACTGGCAAAGGCCTTATCAATTCAGCTTCTCGTTCAGCAGTCCTATTATACTGCACAAAAGATAAGAACTTCCATCATGCTGCCTGCTATTTGGCAAAATGCTTTCAGACCAAGGTCTAAAAAGAAAACAATAAAAGAGTGTCCATTAACGACCTTTTTAACAGCAAGAAATTTTGTTGTCTGGTTTCTTTCTCCATCCAAGCGTTCAAACTTATCAAGATCCCCTTTTCTCTCACGCTCCTCTCTTTCTGGTTCTGTAGAACAATGGGCGGAACAGTTTACTAATTAATCCGTTTACGAAAGCTAGTCAAGGACCAAAGGAAAATTAAAGGTTGAGATACCCTAGATAATTAAACGGCTAATTAGAAACATAGGAAGAAATATAAGATGTATACCCGGACACATATCACGGCATTGTCCAACGACAACTTTAGATGACCCCATGACTTCATAATCAGTTACAGCACCTGAGGTATCCCAAGCTTCTATAGCAGGGCTACAATTACTATTATGTTCATCCGATGGTGCTTTATCATGCTTATTTCCTGAAAATTTTCGTTTTGTAATGTCATCTGGGGTTTGCAATGGTTGGCTTAATTCAACATTGAAACGAGCCAACCTCCTTGCCTTTGCTTGCATTTCCCTGCAGGTACACACTATTTTAATAAAATAAAGCAACCTAATTGAAGCATCAGAAAATTGACAATTGTCTAAGAAAAGAAACAAGTTAAAAGGGAAAGCAGACAATGTTAGAGATAATAAATATACCTCTCAGAATCAAGCTGAATAGAAGATGAGGTGGAATTTACATCAGCTGACTTTAAAGGATGAGACCTGGCCCGTTTAATAGGATTATGATAGGCAGGGTGCACTGGCGATGAAGTTCCAGCATCAGATGCAATAACTTCAGCCATCTGATGAAAAGGACCAGCAGCAGAGACTGGAGACCTCCTCCGACTCCGCATTCTTGGGGGTGATACATCATGCCTGTATAACAAATACCAGACCGGCTCATCAGCATACAGATTACACATGCCTAACGAAATAGAAGCATAAATAACATCATACTTCAGCGCTAATAATGACAAGCATGCGGTAGCAAAAAAAAAGTCCAACGTAACAGAAAGCAGCATGTGCCATGCGCCCGGAGAGAGAGAGAGAGAGAGAGAGAGAGAGAGAGAGAGAGAGAGAGAGGGGGGGGGGGGGGGGGGAAAACAATACAGGTTGTGGAGTACATAATGCACTGATTCATAAGTTTGATTACTACCCATGTTTCTGCATAGCAGGCGATTAGGAGAAACAAGGGTTCACATAACTACTAACCTTCAAGTTCTCATTGCCACTAATAATTCCGTTAGCAGAATGATTAAGAGAAACATGGGTTTACATAAGTAGTAACCTCCGAGTTATATCATCAGAAAATTCCAGATTCTGTACAGAATGACTGCCTGTTGCAGGTGAAAGTCCTGTCCGCTTTGAAGGGTCATCGATTCTACAATGCAAATAAAAATCTTGAATAAGTTCATCTTCACTTTGTAAAGCAAATTTACATAACATATCTATATTACTTTCCTAGTTTACCAATAAAAAACTGAAAGGCATTTTACACATATATATTAAACATCTGGATGATGATAATGGTCAATGGATACATCTTGGATGATAAATAAGTAGATAGATTGCCAACAACCACCAGAATTAGAATTGGGTGCTTTAGGGAGGTTTGCTTGTTTTCAATGTTTCACCAAACCATTTCCTAACTATTTTCATCTGCATCATATCTCTATTTCTAGTTTTTAAAACCATCTCATGTGTCTCCTTTCCCCTTTTTGACATACAATATAGGCCCAAGCATATATTTGAGGCAAAAAGTATCTGTAAGAGCTTATATTGCAAGACTTCTGTCAATGAAACATCTGCTATTATAAACTTTAGCAGTTGGCTTTTCCAGCTTAGCCTACTTCTCATAACTCAGACGCACATATCATCTATTTTTTATGTGAGATGCCCGGAAGTTAAAATTTTTGCAAGTTAGCCAGTCAAAGGCTAGATTAAGGCACATGGCACCTGTGGAAACAACATCAATAAATAGAGAAAAAAGATTGGGTTTTCCTCTAACATAACTTGACAAGAGGACTTGAACTCACAAACAATACATCGCTACAATGGTAAAGGTTGTCTGGCTCAAAAAATGATAAAATAGCTACTAACCTTGGGAAAATCATAATTTGAACCAAATGCCATATCAAACTTTAGGCCGCTTAACTCATGCTTTTCTCTCATAATTCTTCCATTGATGAGATTATTTTCACATATATTCACAAAATCTCCATGTATCTTTAACATTTACGAGAAAACAATGTACTATTCTACTCTAAAAGTTTGATTATATGATTTCTTTTTTTTGTGGCAACGAGGGAATCTTGGCTAGCACAATCTACTACCCAGGGGGAGCCCCGGGTCAGAAGACTAGGCCTCCCCCCCCCCCCCCCCCCCCCCCCCCCCCCCAAAAAAAAAAAAAAAAAAAAACCAAAAACAAGATAAACCAAAAAAAAGAACAAAAACCACCATACTCACCAAGAGGGACAGGTGAATGAGGAATCAAACAAGGGCCAGCGGGGCATAAAGCCTATGTAGATCTCCACAGTGGAACTGCTAACCACTTGTCCCACCCACTGGTGGTTCTACTATTAAAATTATGCATAGGAAAAGGGGAAGAAATAGACCACCACAGTAGTTCTAGCTAAACAATATGATACGAGGAAATCCTTTCCTTTCCTTTCTTTTTTACCCTCTCCCCGTCCTTTTCTCTCTCTCTCTCTCTCTCTCTCTCTCTCTCTCTTC